GCTGGCGGGGTTTTTTGGCGAAAACCCGCGTCTAGATTGGCCATGGACGCTTTTCCGCAAAAAGTGCTTTTGCGGAAAAGCATCCGGCCAATCTAGACGCGCTTTTCCGAAAATGCTTTTAACGGAAAACTTTTCCGTTAAAAGCATTTTCGGAAAATCATGCCAGTGTAGACATAGCCTAAATGTCTTGCAAGAGCTCAGTGAGCAGTGGAAGTGATGGTAATGCTGCTAGATAATATTGACCTCCCGTGGTTCAGCAAATTCTCTGGTTCGGCATTGGTCAGGTCCTCAGGGTCCCAGACTAGAGAGGTTCAACCTGTACTAAATAAATATATACTTTTCTTGGCTACCCGATCCATATTTTCTGGCAATGCCACTTTCCAGTCTTCTAAAGTCCTCATCACCTGCAGGCTAACATGCAAGAAGAACCTAGTTATTATTCTATAATATTTACCAAACTTTGCCATTACACTGGGATTTGGATGATTCATAGAGGCAGTTCCTGCAACAAGAGGGCTTGCAATCTAGAACAGACAGTCGTGGACACGATACACAAGAAGGCTCGAAGGAGGCTCATGCTGAAACAATGGTGCAAGTTTCTGATGCAGTAAACTCCTTTTGAATGAGATTTGTTTCTGTGGCGAATTATTGCTGGAACAATGTAGATTATTAATACTCCCATACATAAACAGCAAGGCTGCATTTAAAAGATAGTGGAGCAATATACATATAATTATACCCCAAGGATCTGTTCTAGGACCGGTTTCGTTCAACATTTTTATTAATGACCTGGATGAGGGGATGGATTGCACCCTCAGCAAGTTTGCAGATGACACTAAGCTAGGGGGAGAGGTAGATATGCTGGGTCCAGAGTGACCTAGACAGATTAGAGGATTGGGCCAAAAGAAATCTGATGAGGTTCAACAAGGACAAGTGTAGAGTCCTGCACTTGGGACAGAAGAATCCCAAGCATTGTTACAGGCTGGGGACCGAATGGCTAAGTAGCAGTTGGGCAGAAAAGAACCTGGGGATACAGTGGATGAGAAGCTGGATATGAATCAACAGTGTGCCCTTGTAGCCAAGACGGCTAATGGCATATTAGGGTGCATTAGGGGAAGCATTGTCAGCAGATCCAGAGAAGTGATTATTCCCCTTTATTCAGCTCTGGTGAGGTCACATCTGGAGTACTGTGTCCAGTTCTCAGCCCCCCACTGGAAAGGATGTGGATGCACTGGAGAGGGTCCAGTGGAGGGCAACCAAAATGATGAGGGGGCTGGAGCGCATGACCTATGAGGAGAGACTGAGGGATTTTGGTCTGTTTAGTCTGCAGAAGAGAAGAGTGAGGAGGGATTTAATAGCAGCATTCACCTTCCTGAAGGGAGGTTCCAAAGAGGATGGAGAGAGGCTGTTCACATTAGTGACGGATGGCAGAACAAGGAGCAATGGTCTCAAGTTACAGTGGGAGAGGTTTAGGTTGGATATTAGGAAAAATTATTTCTCTAGGAGGATGGTGAAGCACTGGGATGGGTTACCTAGGGAGGTGGTGGAATCTCCATCCCTAGAGGTTTTTAAATCTCGGCTTGACAAAGCCCTGGCTGGGTTGATTTAGTTGGGATTGGTCCTGTCTCTTCCAGCTCTATGATTCTATAATTAAGCTATGCTAGAAAAATGCACTAAAGACTCAGAGCTTTTCCCTCTGGATTCAGATGGACATTCAGCAAACCAAAAAGAATGACAGGATGTTCTTACACATGGAAGGGTATTTAAAGCACGCAAGGAAACAATTAAAATCCCCAATGTGTTGAAATTTTGCCTCAGACTGTAGATCTTAAAAGAATTTCCCTAAAATGCATGAAGTCATTTCTCTTCTGCCCTGGATTTTCCAGTCCATGTAAAAGCAAAAAAAGGTGATCCAAGAGTTACCACATTCCCCATGTAACACAAAGCCTTGCAGAAGGAAGCTATGCTGAGCACTAGCACCGTCAGTCTGTTATATATAGCGTCCAAATCTCTCCAGAGAGATCTCTAGTTTAATCAATCCAGTAATCTGACTAGCGTCAAAAAATATCATGGTCAGATTGTAAAAGACTCAGCTTGCATAGTCTGGCTTGCTGCCATTCCAGCACAGTTCATGCTTGCAATGCACAGGTTAAAAAAAGAACGCTTTCTATAAGCACTCAAGAATGCATTGTGACATTTGAGGTTAAGCGTTTGTAGGCAGGGTTCACTAGTGCAGCTATTTTAATGTACTGTACTCTTGGATGACAAGGGGATGAATAAGCAAAAGACAAACGGCTTCTTCCTACCTGGCTGCTGAAACATCAGCATGGTCTGTGGGGACGTGTGGACGGGCAGCGAACGTGTCCTCTGCACTGAGCTATGAGTCCGGCTTGGCATGCTGTTACTCCCCCCGGGGTTTGCAAACCAGAGATTCTATGGGAAACAAACACACCGACCGACACTGTAAAATAAATGCCAGAGCCATGCTAATGTAGGACACAGCTGTGTGTGTTAAAAACCTCAACGCCCTGCATGCTAATGCTTTTCTGATCTCCCCACCCTTACACCTTCTAGTCACCTGGTCATGGTCTCCCTATGAAAGGCTTTTTCTGCCTGCGACACTTTGTCTTTGAGCGATGTATTTATAAAAAAAATCAACAACAAAAAAGCCTTGGCTCGTTTCTCTTTCTCCTTTCCTCTCGAAAGTCTGATTTGTCCCTCTCTCCCTACTCGATTTGTCCCTTTTCAGTACCCCTCTACACCGAGAAGAGCGAAAACAGGAAATGCCTGCAGACTGTTCTCACTGGGTTTGCGTGTAATAAAAAAAAGTATCCAGACATATTAGTCAGATGAGGAAATTCAGAAAAATCGTTCCACTCTAACCATAGCAGACAGCTCATTAACTGCTTTCTTTAGAGGCAGTTTTCTCTTTAGCTATTGGGGAGCTAATAGCTACACTGGGACCAATCCCTTGTAATGTATACGTGCCTAATAATGATAAATTCTGTGAACTCGCCCACCAGACTAAACTGGCAATTGGGGGGCTCTGTGCCATGCTGTAGGTGCTCAGCATCTTGCCTGGATGCGAACCAACATATTTCTCGCCATGCAAAAAATTTTTGGACCCTCCTCTGCAATTAACATCGGTCCTGCAGCTCTGCTGGTCTGAAATGCAACCACACAGACAGACTGAGACACACCTGTCTTCCTTGTTTCAAGATGGTTGGGTTGGCAGCTGTACTGCGTTGTGCGGCACCTAGGAGTCCACTGGGGCCCAAAAGACCCAGCCGGGTGGGGGGGAGATTCCGGGAAGGAATTTGGAACTGGCGCGGGTTCCGTCTGCCCATTCCTGCACCTACAGATCCAGCTGTTGGTAAGGAGTTCGACTGGCCAAAGCCTCGACTGGAAAGAGGAAAAAAACCCAGGTCTGAACATTCACAAGCCAGCCTTTCGAAATGCAGCCATGAGCGCACTCCTAAATACTTTCAGAAAAATATGCAAATGGGATGTGATTAGTACGGATTAAAACGGGATTTAGAAATCAGTGCGGCCTAACAAGCGCTAGCCTGGATCCTTCTCCCACGAAAATCAATGGAAAAACTCACTGACTTCAGCATACTAGAACAGGGCACCTTATTGCCACATTAGCCAAAGTGTCTTACCAAGGACTGCCACAGGAGGGAACATATTTGCTTTCACTAGATTCAGAGGACAGCTGCACATGTAAGCCCTGTAGCTAGCATTCAATTTTGGTTTAGCCCAGTGTCTCTCAAATAGTGGTCCTCAGATCCACTCTGAGACAGCTGCCAACGGGCCGCTCCGCTCTGTTTATTTACTGGCTCTGCAGCCACAGAGCCTCGCAGTTCCCATTGGCTCCAGTTCGCTGTTTGCAGCCAAGGGGAGCTGTGGGAAGTGGCGTGGCTGCGGTGCCGGTAAACAAACAAACTGGAGCTGCCCAGTGGCAGCTGTCTCACAGTGGATCTGCAGACCACTTTGAGAAGCCCTGGTTCAGCCCCTATCCTGCTTTCCGTAGTCCTGCGAGTGAGTCAAGCAGTCAGCGGGAGAGAGGCAGGCAGGACTGGCTTTTGATGATGGCGAGTGAGATTGAAATGACCTTTTAAGTGCTAAGCAGGGAGAAATCCAGACACTTCGCCCGGAGAAATGCAGGGATTCTGGTGGTGCCCTGGGGGCTTTGGTATATTCTCCTGAATCTCATCTTGCACTAGGATTGCCACATGGTTTCAACAAAAATACTGGACACACCTGACATGACATCACAATCTACATTCCATCTGATTTAGAAAATACCGGACATTTATATTTTCTCAATTTGTTTCCCCGAACAGAAAGCTCAAATACTGGACTGTCCGGTTCAAAACTGGACACCTGTCAACCCTATCTTGCACTGCAAATTAAAAAGCTGATACACTGATGCTTAATCGACGGCTTGCAAGCCCCATGCAGCCTTCTCAAGATGCCCTTGCCGCTCCACATTTCCCACAGTGACAAAGAAAGGTCCTAAACTGAGCCTTGGTTCCTCGCTCAGCTGTATTTGCTTCTTCGTTTTCTCTTCCCTCATGGCACTTTACCTACTGAGGCACTGACTCTGAGTTGCTGAGAACCTTTGCTTCCCAAGAAATGAAAGTTGAGGGGGCTATTGCTTTAATTTGTAAGGGGCTTCTTGGTCTGGCTTGCAGGTGAAGGAGCTCTGTAGGGAAGCACCAAGAACACAAAACTATCAGAATCAGTCTGCAGAAGCCAGCCTAGAGCAAGGTGAGGTGGGCTGTGCTACTCTGTGTTAGGGAGCAGCCTGCTTTGCCTCTCTCTGATTTTGGTTGTCTGTTACCGCTCCAAATTCTAAGTAGTAAGGACAAGTTGTGTGGTAAACATCCAGCACAGGTATTTTATGTTTTCAATCTAGCTTTTCTGTGTGTGTGGTGTGAATATAACACTCAGCATCTCAAGATTTTGATCTATGGGGCCAGATCTGAGTGCTTTTGAAGTCCCTTGCGTCCTTGCTTGTTTCTGGTTTGAGCATGTTTTTCTGTTCTTGGAGTTATTAAGGATTTAGTTTCCCTAATTTCTACATTTGGTTGTGTGTTAGGAGTGTGAGGTTTACATTCTTGGTTCATTTGGCTGGTTTGAAATTTGCTCATTTTAAATGCAAATGTACAGAAGAGAATCAGAGAAAAAAAATTATGAATAAAGATAACTTCTACACAAAAACACTACATCTACACCACATGCTTCTTGCGCAAGAGCCCTTTTGCACAAGAGTTTTTGTGCAAAAACTTCTTGCGCAAGAGCATGTCCACACTGCATGGATGCCCTTGCACAAGAAAGCTCTGATGGCCATTCTGTGAATGGCTATCAGAGCACCGTGCTTTTTCCCATAGGTGCTCTGGAGCGTCGACACTTGCCTTTTTGTGCAATAACTGTAGCGCAAAAAGGAGTTATGCCTATGCTGGAAAGGAGGTTTACTTATGCCGGAAAAAGCCCTCTCTTCTGCCGTTTAACTGTTGATTTACTTGCACAAAAGCGAATTTGAGGTGTGGACGCTCCATGGATTTTTGCGCAAAAACACTTGTTTTGCGCAAAAACCTTACAGTATAAACCAGTGGTCCCCAACGCGGTGTCTGCGGGCGCCATGGCGCCCACCGGGGCATTTGTGTGCGCCCGCTGAGAACCTGGGCTGGCCCCGCCCCCGGCGCACTGGAGGCACCGGCCCCAGGCGCGCGACACGCACCGGTGCCTGGTGCGCGGCGCTCGGGCGGCCCCAGCCCCTGGGCACATGCAGGCGCGTGGTGTCGGTGCCAGCCCCAGGCGCGCGGCTCGGG